CAGATTTTCTGGTCCCCGAGTTAATTATTTTCCTGCCAAAAATTTCATGTAACTGTACGCGGGGGCTAGACGTGCGTGAGGATTGGTGTCGCGGTCCTGGGGTGCCACTTGGCCGGGGAACTCGCTGGCAAAATTTTGTCTTCGAAGCTTGCTTGGTTGCCGAGTTGAAATACCCGGACAGACAGACAGATACATACACGCGCACACACACACTCATACAAACATACACGCACACGCACTCCAGGGGCCGTCGCAATATGCGTTTTTGCTCGCTGCGCCGCACAACAAAAACGCATAAGAATATGTACACAACATATTAATATATTTTTTCCTTATCAAACAAAGTGTGAAGCTCTGCAAGAACTCAAAAGCCTGCATTTTGTGTGAAACCCCCTCTCCCCAAAGAGCAGAAATTCCCAGACAAGATGAATTGCAGGAAGCACTACTGGCCTGCCGGTAATGATTCAGCTTAAAAACAAGAGTGCTGGGAAAATAGAAGCAGCATGAGAATCACCGGTTTACTTTGAAGCGTCTTTCAAAGAATTTTGTCCCCTCCCCTCTACCCCTCTGCTCTCACTCCTCCCGTCGTCATTCGCAATTGATAAATTGCTTGTTGCTGCTAAGATATAACTTTTATTTCGACTTTTTTTTGAAAAGGTTCCTGCTCTCCATGAAACTTCCGTCAGTCAATCATTATTTGGGTCTTTGCACGCTCTCTACCGGCATATCACTCAGTGGCAGTCTCCTCCAGCAGGAAGCACAGCATATAGTGTTTAAACGCTTCGATGATGGCACTAGCAGCTACTTGGCATTGCATGTCAAGATCTGCCGCACTGCACGCCGAAAATGTACTTTTCTCGGAAATTTCACGAAGCGATTTACTTGGAAGCATTCCTGGCCTGCCCTCCCCGACGAACCTCCGCAAAAGAAAGTGGAAGAAAGAGAATTAGTAAGACACAGGGTGAACCGAGGACGTGATAATATGATTTCCGTTTCAAGTATTCATACTCTCTAGTCGATTCGCACACGGAAATAACGCTACGCGATAATCCAATAAGAAACTCAAATGTATGGAGTACTGTGGACGAGGTAATGTGATAAGCTCCAAAAACCTGTACTCATTAACTTTACTTGGCAAGCCTGTCGAAATACTGCGGGACGTCAATAGGAATAACAAGACTTTTGAGTATCGCTGTGTTCTGGGCTGAGATGCGCAGCGAAGCCAAGCAGCTTACCAGCCTAGCTAGCAACTGCCCGGCTCTAGCAGTGTAACAGCCATTCCCTCAACAGCAGCAGCAGCAGCAGTAGCAGTACAGCTCGAAGACGAATCTCGTCGTAAATGTTGATGATCGGACGGGAAAATCGATGAATTGCTTCGCTGGCAGTAAAGTTTGATGTGAACAATTGATAGAAGTGGTGCTCGAATCGAAAATGTACACACAGCGGCGAGGCGTCCACGCCAGCGCCCGGCGCTGACCGCACCGAGCTACTGCCCTTGTGTGCCACACCATACCACACCACTGCGCTAATACAGCTATTATTATTATTACTGTTTATTATTATTTTTTGTTATTATTGTATTAGTATTCTTGTTCGTTATTGCTTACTATTGTTCAGCATCATTGTTTATTATCATTATTGTTTACTATCATCGTTGTTTATTATCGTTATTGTTTATTACAACTATTGTCTGTTATCATTATTGTTCATTATCGTTATTGTTTATTATTGTTGTTCATTATCACTGTTCATTGTTATTGTTATTATCATCAGTCATTGTTTGTCATTATAGTTATTAATGTTACTATTATTATTAGTCATCAATAATTAGTTAAGGAGATATGAGGGAGTAGAGAAAACGAAGAAGGAGACGCGAATGAGAACCGAGGCACAAATGTCCCAACTACATCGAAAAGGGCTTCTCAGCAGTCTACATAGCAGCAAACAGTGGTACATTCGATGATCAAGTGACCAAGACCAAACAGGCACGCAACGTGAGTCGGAGAACAAGCTGGGCAGAGTGTAGCCAGAAAATGGGTAGCTCATGCGGTCACGTTGATTCCGAGGAATCATGCAGCGGAACAGGCAGGCAGGGAAAAGCTGACGTGCTGGCTCGGTAAAAGCATCCCAAAATCACAGTGATGCCTGCGTCTGAGCGGAGGCCACTCAGCACTGGGCGCCTAGCGGTGCTGGTCCGGCTGGTATGCCAGGTATGCGGACCGGGAACAGCGGCTGTCGATGTGAAAATTTTTAGCAAAAGGGGAGGAGGGAGGAATGGAAACGAGGCGCGGGTCAGAGATGCGACCTTTCGGATTGCATTCCAGGGAGTTGCTACCGTCCTCGCCGCTGCTCGGAACTTCGACGGTGCAACGGTGGAGGACGGAGCGAGGGAAGATGGAGGGAGAGGGTAAACCACTCTCTGTGTGGAGGGCACTGCTCCGGCAGTGCTCTTTTCCCAACGTCGAATTCCATTCATCGTCTGCAAGCATCCCAACGAGCATTCCATTCCTTTGTACTTTTGCGCGCATTCATTCGATCGTCGTGGTCGTCGTCCTACTGTCATCTGATATGTGCTGCCAGCCGGAGAGTGCAATCGTGCGGCGCTGCAGCAGCAGCAACCACAGCTAAACACTGAAGCAGCAGCAGTAGCTGAAGCCGTGTGCATCCGTACTGGCGAACTGTTTGAGAACTTCTTGGTGATCGCCAGAGCTGATAAGTGACGTGGGGAAGGCAGGGTGGTTAACATGTGCAGATGCACTGGATCCGCTGGGAACTACCGAATCGCTCTAAAAAGTGATAAACACAACGAGGAGTGCGAGAAAGAGTAGAAAATTGACGGAAATACAAGGGAGTTTCTCTCCATCGGGATGCGTCAGAAAACACCATCATTTCCCGCACTCTCCACTTTCTCCGAACATAACGAGATTTTTGTCGACCTCTGCAACAAGCGTACTTGTAGATGTCCCAATACCCGGGTAGCAATGTATGCAGTATAATTGACCTGAACTTTATGCTCATTTGTAAGTGCGAAAAAGTTTTTATTGGAAACACATCATTGCGACGAGCTACCAGAAAAATTGGCAAAAATGCCGCCAGAAGTGCCTGTATTTGATCGTGATTGCGTATTCCAGCAAGTACACTGGCAAGCACACGTTTCTGTCGAATGCACGTCGATATTAAAATAATTTTATACGGGGCGAATCTATGCCAAAATCAGCATGGCATTAGAGGAGTTATTTGATGAAAATCACCAGTCAAGAATCGATTTGATGTCGCTGCTCAAGGACCCATTATTGTTCAACTTCGGGCTATTTTCTGAATAGAATTGGCTGAACCAGCGTCGATGCTTCCCGATCGGGCCGTCATTTCTCGCCAGTAGCGGGGGTTTCACATAACGCTTGTGATTCCAAATGTAAATATCTCGTTCGAACTGCAAAAATTGCTACTATTGTTTTTGGAAATAACATATTTTCATGTGCTTCTGTGTGAATGAATAACCAGCCATGGTGCGGTTATTCATTTTCGCACGATTTCTTGCAGCATTTAACACTGCTTCACAGTCTGACAGTGCGTTCACTAAGGTTTTTGCATTTTGATGCAAATGCAGATACACATTGTTGAAAGGTTATCTGCGTGTATGTATGTATGCGTTTCCATTTGCATGTGCATTGTGTGTGTGTGTTTGTGTGTGCATGTTTGAAAAAAGTCAACTACATTCGAATCAGCAGCCGCAGAAGCTGGGATTTTGCAAGGAAGTTCCTAGTCAATGTGTCGTCCAAACAGCTTAAAATCAAGTTCACGTATCCTTTGGTCTAGTGTATAAAAACAAATTCATGCAAATTTTCTGGCAGGAAAATGATTTAGGGAGCCAAAGCACATAAAAAGCTGAGATTTCAGCTTCTTTGTGTGAGCTAAAGATTTCAAATTCAGTTATCTGCCCATCGAATCTGAGAGTTTGTCGGGAGAACTAGGCTGATTAGAGCACTCTCACTTTACGAAAATATTCATTTTCCATGCGAGAGGAAAAGGTTTAATACACACCTGTGTAGCGAACTTGGACACGTCAAAGATGTTTGTAACATAAAGCGATTCCGCCAAAAAGATAAGCTGGGGAGCTGAAATGTTACGGAGGTATTCTGTGCCCATACTTGATTTGAATATTTCCAATTCATCATTAAATTACGCCTAGATCTTGCGTGCGTGTAGCTGAAGTTTAGTTTAAGGCACTGTCGGTATTCATTTAACTCGGTATTCAGCATAAGCAGGAAGCAGTACTGATCTGAGGATGTTTGCTTCTCATGTGTGTACCACCAAGCATAACATGTGTTACTGCCTGCTGGATCTAGAAAAAGCTAAAATTACCAAACAGAAATTTTATACGTTTTAGAGTTTCAGCAATAAGAAACAATAAAAACTTATAAAACCTTCTTCGGCAGTCGTGGTTGCTCTACCCGGATAAAAAAAAAAAAAAAACAAATTGGTCGGCTTTCTTGATTTTAAGATTGCTTAGAAAATTGTTTTAAAAAATTACCCGAAAAAGTGCTCACTGTACTCATCTCCCCTAAAAGAGCAAATATTGGGTATGGACTTTCCACTTAAAAAGTATCAGCGGGTTTGAAAAATAATGGGTGCATAAGCAATTAATCAAGGCAAATGTAGATAAATGGCAACGCGCACCAGACTAGCCGGTGCGATCATGCGTTTTGTGCAATTCAGCCGATTGAACGATTGCCTGTTAATGATTTTCATGCTTTGTACTTTAGTCTATGCAAAAATAGTTCAAACATTGGAAAATAGTTAAAAATTTCACACACCAGTGCTTTGTTCTTTAGTCTATGCAAAAATAGTTCAAACATTGGAAAACAGTTAAAAATTTCACGCACTTTTGTTCTTTAGTCTATGCAAAAATAGTTCAAACATTGGAAAACAGTTAAAAATTTCACGCACCAGTGCATAAAAGCTGAATTCGAAACCTTGAAGGATGAATATATTTCCGTGATTCCCGAGTTAAAAGTTTATCCGCCAAAATTTTCACGAGGCCGTAGATGGTAACCGAAAGCGCGAGAACGCTGAATTTGAATGGGCAAGGTTGAGCGTGGGCAGGGGGTCGTTACCCTAAAACTTCAGCCTCCTACACTCCGTGGTTCTTATTAACTTACCCGTGAATAACTTTCACGGGGCCGTATGTGTTACCCGCGGGTAAGGGAAGGCTGATTTTGAATGGACAAGGTTGAGCATGGGCAGTGGGTCATAACCCTAAAATTTCAGCCTCCTAGAATCCGTGGTTCCCGAGATATTAACTTACCCGTGACTTACCCGTGAAAAACTTCCACGGGGCCGTATGTATTACCCGCGGGTAAGAGAAGGCTGAATTCGAATGGGCAAGATTGAGGGTGGGCAGGGGGTCATAAACACCCGCGGGTAAGGGAAGGCTGATTTTGAATGGGCAAGGTTGAGCATGGGCAGTGCGTCATTACCCATGAAATTTCAGCCTCCTAGTTCCATAGAGCATGGGCAGTGGGTCATTACCCTAAAATTTCAGCCTCCTAGACTCCGTGGTTCCCGAGATACTTTACTTACACGTAAAAAACTTTCACAGGGCCGTACGCGTTACCCGCGGGTACGGGGAAGCTGAATTTAAATTTGCAGGGTCACACGTGGGTGGGGAACGTTACCCA